ATATATAGTAAGGCAGAGTCGGTTACAAACGAAATGAGAGCTTAATTATAATTTCAAACAGGAATTTATCGCAACTTTCTACTGCCAAGGTTTAAGATTCCAAAATCTTTATTTTATCACCAAACTCTGTACATGAGAACATGAATACGTAATGTCATTTAAGGATATAGCTTTAGGTTTATGGTAATATAAATTATGTAATACGCAAGTGTTTTGTCAATTAGCAGAGCATATATTCATTCCACGATCGTATGAATTGGAATTTTGATACGAAGGATGAGTTTGATAATGAAAAACGGCGAATGGCTGCCTTTCATGTTAAACGCCGTCATTAAAATGTCTGGATATCTAGAATGTTTATCATCGTGCGTGCGTAATTGGTTAAGTATGGATGCGCCAGAAAGTGAGGTTTTTCAATAAGGGATTATAAAACTTACATTACAAATGTTGGTAAACGTGCTCTAGTTCTACAGGTGCGCTCTAATAAACGAAATAAAACCATTATTAGAATACAATTGGCCTTTTTATTCTCGAGATGGTGGAAGAATAATCAAAATTAAAAATGCTATATTTGCAAACATGGGCAGCACGCACACAACGGATGCCACGCCATGAACTGAGAAACCGTACGCATTATAATAATATACGCGTTACAACGCTCGGGAATATTACTTCGATCCCCTCCCCTCTAATGCTTCGTCTTCCGCCCGCAGCTCCATCACGATGAAGGATCATATCAACAGTGCACGTTAAATAAGCTCCCGTAAAAAACACATACAATAAAAGGCGAGAGCTGAGATATTCAAATCTCGGCGAAATCGGTGGCAATGACAACAAGTAACAATTAGTGTCGCCATAGCAACGGAGACTGTTATGAATTTTGACACGTTACATATTGCGCTGGTATGACTAAATCACGAGTAAGGTAACCTGTGCTGAAAACTGATGACGGGGGCTTCCCCGCTCGTATGTTAGCCTAGTTATTGAAAATGTCATAGGACTCAGCATACATAATGGAATGCCGTATGAATACGTACGTTTTCAAGCGTGAAAAGTGTCAGTTTCGGGGTGGGGGGTACGGCACGGGATCGAGGTGTAACAATGAAGCAGCGAGTGAGCTCGCTGTCTCTCTCTCTCTCTCTCTCTCTCTTCTCTCTTCTCTCTCTCTCTCTCCTCTCTCTTTCTCTCTTCTCTCTCTTCGTCCTCTCTCTCTCTTCTCTCTTCTCTCTTCTCTCCTCTCTCTCTCTCTCTCTCTCCCTTCACCTTCTCTCTCTCTCTTTCTCTCACTCGCTCTTCTCTCTCTTCCCTCGCTCTCTCTCTTTCTCTCACTCGCTCTTCTCTCTCTTTCTCTCACTCGCTCTTCTCTCTCTTCCCTCGCTCTCTCTCTCTCATCTCACGCCTCCATCTCTCTCTCGCTCCAGCAGCAGAGCGGTTAACGATATCAAGATCACAAAAACCGTTAGTACAAATAGTTAATGTGCTCTTGAAGATATCAGATGCTCAAGGCTCGGACGCCCGCGTAGACAGCTGTACGTCCATAATGAAATGTCACCGGAAACGTAGGCGTAAATGTACGCGAAGTATGATCGTACATACATTATACACAGCTCAGTGCGTCGCACACAGACACGTGAACACACGCATGAGTGGGCGCGAACACAGACGCACGCACATGGCCACCGGTACGGGCGGGTAGTTATGCCGGCGCGGCGGCGGCGGCGCCGTATGTGAAGGCAACAGACGGCACGCCTGCGGTCGATAATTTAATAAAGCTCAATATGAGACCGACGATCACATTCGATGGATGACGATCCTCGAGTACTTATCACCTGTTAATATAAGGAGGAAGGAAGCATGACAACCCCCCCCCACACACACACAGCACGCACCACACACGACACGCCCACACGCACGCACGCACACAGCACGCACACATCGCACAACACACACCCACGCCACGCGCAGCGCGCACACACACACACGGCGCAGTACCACACACACACGACAACCACACACCCACGCACGCGCACACACACACACAACGGACGCCCACACACACACACACACAAACCACACGCACAACACACACCACGGCACTGCGCCACACACACACACACACGGACGCCACACACCACACACACACGGACGCACACAACACACACACCACCGCCGCCGCGCGCACACAGCGCTGCTGCTGACGATAAACACGCGGTAGCAAGAAAGCAACAAACATTTCACCGATAACTTCTCAACTTCATTGAACATCGAACAATAAGCTAGTTGAATCTAAGCGGGTGGCAAGTGCAGTGGATTACGGCGGGTGGCCAAGTGCAGTGGCATACGCGGGTGGCAAGTGCAGTGGATACTGCGGCGGTGGCAAGTTGCATGGATACGGCGAGGTGGCAAGATGCAGTGGTACGCGGGTGGCAGTGCAACGTGGATACGCGAAACGGTTGGCACAGTGCAGTGGATACGCGAGGTGGCAACTGGCAAGTGGCAGTGGATACGCGGGGTGGCAAGATTGCAGTGGACCCGCGTTTCCATAAAGGCGGTCCAGGCCCCCACGTGTACACGCGGTGCGAGAACTTTGATACGTTCGCCGTTCCATCGCTAACTTTATATCTGCATATGGCACCAGAGGAGACAACCTCGCTGAAACTAAGTTTAGGGTAAAGCTAGCTCCAAGAAACGGTCTTGCTATTGCTAGAAGGACCCAAAATGGACAATCAGTCGCACAGCCTCGTCGAGCTGGGTGTTAAAGCACTGGCTATGCGAGGAGATGTAGACCGACGCAGATTTGCCATCTATTATCACCACGGCAACATGCATTCATAATCATGTTTAGGTCATTAATGCTTATCGAACGATCGATTAGTCGAAGATGTATTCCCGCGATCAGCACGTGACGACACGTGGACAACCAATGCAGGTGACAATTAATAGTCTCGTAATCAGGCTGATCACGAAAGTCCCAATAAGAGTCTGCTCATCTAAGTTCGTATGTATTCTCAGCCAAGCTGGGGGACGTCTTACATAATATTTCGTCGGCGGTCCTGCAGTTTTTCAATTTCTGTTCGCTTGCGATTTTGTGAGTCGTCTGGGCCAAGCAGGAAATCGTGTTGTGTTAATCCGCTTGACAAAGATTTCCGGTATAGTGCGTCGTTCCGCCCTCACCCACCTCACCTCCCACCTCATATATTTTCTCTCACCCGGCTTCTTCTCTCATCCATCTCTACGTCTGCGAAACTACAGCAGCCAGATGATAGCTCTTACACGTTCTCTTCACTAATTCAGTCACAAATGCTCCGTATACGCGATTTTAACGATTTCATTTCTAGACAGAAGCCGAACACGCGGAAATTGTCTATACCGCACAGGCAACTGGTCGGCTATCCTAATCTATATGTGATTAAAGTAATGAAAAGGATGTGGAGACGGTACTGGCCTGCTGCTACTGCTGTTGTTGTTGTTGTTGCTGCTGCCTAGCTACTGCTTTACCGCCGTTGCACGCCGCCGTTGTCGCGCACCCAACACCGCCAACCACCACCACTACTCTGCCGACGATCCAGATTTAACATATTACTGAACGGAGACGAGAAGACACCTGTGCAACGCAGGCATGTGTTGATGTTCACCTCACTCACCCCATCCTCCGCTCCCCCCGAACACCTATAACAGGAGTCAGCCAGGTACTTACAAATCATTGACGTCACAACATCAGCACGTTAGTGAAACAAGGTGTTGAGCGGGCAATAACAAGCACACATCAGGGTCCCTTACTTTGCTCCGTGGCTGCCGAACATAACTGATCGCGCAATGGGCTTTTTCACCATTTCATTTTAAAAGCCCGGCGCACACTGAGTAATTTTACTCAAGTAAATGATTGCATTGCGTCAAAATACTCACTGCGAAATCATTATTCAGGCGTCTGCCGCACACAGTGAGTAAAATTACTCAACGGTGTAAGTGGTAACGTAGATCACTCACCTGACATGTGCGCAGCCAATACTGGGCGCATGTCATGTTTAAAATAATTTACAACGGCATAGCGCTGTGAAGACCAGTGTGAGCTAAATTTACGCAGCTAGCGCGCACACGTGAGTATTTGACGCATGCATCATTTTACTTGAGTAAAATTCCTCACGTGTGCGCCGCGGCTTAAGACTCTGTTCATAAAAACAAATAGCAAGCAGCAAAAATATACAACACCCTGATATTTATAGCACGACCCGACATATTTAAGGCTCCTTCACATAGGTTGGGCATCCATCGTGGAGGCTGGATGGGTTGTAAACGGGGAGGGGGTTATCTAACAAAATAAGACAAACTAGTTTCTTTATATGAGAAAATAGACGATACGATATTTCTTATTATATTCCGATTAGCAGCGCTGGTGTAGCATTGCCGTCCTGTGCTCAGCACATATATAACGATCACTCTTCAGCCAGCCAAGTACCAGGTCCAGACCAAGCGAAACATAGCGGCCCCGCCGTAATCCCACACCGAGCATCCGCCGCCCTGTGACGCTGCCATGACCCACCGGGAGCATCTGCCCCTGTGACCTTCGCCATGTAGGGTTAGGGTTAGGGTTAGTCAGAAATAGCTAAACGAGCCAGGTCAAACAGGGGGAGGTCAGGGGGACATAGACCCTACGAGCGGTAGGATACTGAAACACTCATTAACATACATTGTAATATTAACCCTCGACCTATAATTTCGATTGAAGAATTCATTCACGAATAAACCAAAGCAAATCATTACGACACTTGGCACCTTACGAGACACAGTACTCTATGGAGTATATGCGTACACGTGCTCATCATACGCAAAGTGACTACAAATAATTTTTTCTTCCCAAGGCTAGAAACCATGGCTGACTGAATCAACAACATACGTGCCCAGAAAAGCACGTGCGTTTGGTCGGTCGACAAATTTACATCGTGCACCCATCTGGGTGAGAGACAGCGACGCGATAGTGTGACGGTATTAAAGAGAAGCGCGCAATATTTACAGATAATGCCAGCGACTGCCAGCCACGACGCCACTCAACGCTTGGTCTTCTTCTTGTGTGACCTGTGTCGTGGTGACCTTGACCCCGATCGTGATCTGCATAAGTCGGAGAATAAAAAAGAAACGTCACGCACAAAAAACGCCGCCTCGGTCGTTTGCGACTGATCACGCCTCCACCGCGCGATGTCAGGTCGTAAGTTTGGCGGTTGGTTGACACCCAAGCTGCATGGAGTACTAACGTCATACAGCATGGAGACCACATTTCTTGCAATTAGCCAGCGTGTAAGCTCCACCACACTACCCATCTAACATTTATTTGTCCTATATATACTGTCAAACGCCTACACACCTTTTCGATTGTTTTGGCGACCTTGATGGGCGCTGTGACCTTCGCGGCGAGCGTGACCTTGACCTGCCGCGCCGGGACAAGGGCGGCGAATCCGTCTGCTCCTTGTACGCGGCCGGCGGTGACCTGCAAGTATTCCGACATCGCCATCATCAGATCGCCACGAATTTCTACGTGGCACACGCCGAAACGTTGACGCGCACGACGACGCGGCTGCGGCCGGCGACGCGCGGACCACTCACCGGGAGGCGCTCCTCGCGCCCTTGCTGCGTCGCTTCGACGACGGCGTCGGCGAGCGGCTGTCGCTCCTGCTGCTGTCGACGACGCGGCGGCTGCCGGCCGCGCTACGCTCGACGGGGCTGCGACGACGCTCGCGCTTGCGTTCCCGCTCGCGCGCCCGCTCCCACTCGTCCACCTTCTCCCGATCCTTCTCTATGCGCCGCTCGATCTCGGCCTCTCGATCCTTCTCGTCCTGTTTCTCCTTCTCCTGCAGAGATTATATACGTCACAAAGGTTTATCGTTGGGGGGACTTCACATTGAAAAGATGTAACGATGGAGGAAATCCGAATATACATTGCAAAGATGCAACGACGGAGGAATATACATTGCAAAGATGACCCCCCCCCACCCCGAAACTGACACTTTTTCACGCATTGAAAACGTACGTATTCAATACGCATTCAATATGTACTAGTCCTATGACATTTTCAATAACTAGGCTCCATACCGAGCGGGAAGCCCCCGTCATCAGTTGTTCAGCACAGGTACCTACTCGTGATTAGTCATACCAGCGCAATATGTAACGTTGTGCAAATTCACAGTCTCCGTTGCTATGTACACTAATTGTTACTTGTTGTCATTGCCACGATTTCGCCGAGATTTGATATCTCAGCTCTCGCCTTTTATTGTATGTGTTTTTACGCTATTTACACGTGCTACTTTGATACGATCTTCATGTGATGGAGCTGCGGGCGAAGACGAACATTAGAGTGGGAGGGGGATCGAAGTAATTCGACGTTGTACGCGTATATTATTAATGCGTGACGGTTTCCAGTTCATCGTGCATCCGTTGTGTGCGTGCGTGCCATGTTTGCAAATATACATTTTAATTTGATTATTCTTCCACCATCTCGAGAATAAAAAGCCAATTGTATTCTAATAATGTTTTATTTCGTTTATTTAGAGCGCACCTGTAGAACTAGAACACGTTTACCAACATTTGTAATGTAAGTTTTATAATCCCTTATTGAAAAACTCACTTCTGCGCATCCATACTTAACAAATACGCACGCACGATGATAAACATTCTAGATATCCAAAGACATTTAATACGGCGTTTAACATGAAAGGCAGCCATTCGCCGTTTTTCATTATCAAAACTCATCCATTCGTATCAAATTCCAATTCATACGATCGTGGAATGAATATATGCTCTGCTAATTGACAAAAACTTGCGATTACATAATTTATATTACCATAAACCTAAAGCTATATCCTTATGACATTACCGTATTCATGTTCTCATGTACAGTTTGCTGATAAATAAAGATTTTTGAATCTTAAACCTTGGCAGTATAAAGTTGGTGATAAATTCCTGTTTGAAATTATAATCAAGCTCTCATTTCGTTTGTAACCGACTCTGCCCTTTACTATATATCCGATATTTGGGTAACTGATGAAGTGGCTTGATGGATAAGTGATAAAAGGGAATATTACATTTTAGTGGATATTAGATTTACTCATCTTTTTACATGTGACATCCCTTTACATACCATACAACAGTTTGTGACGGGTCCTTTCACTTGCACCTTTGGTGACACAACTAGAATCATTTGATAGTTTTCTCAACACTAGGAAGTATGCAACAAACATTTTTTTTGTCAACGAATTTATTCATGACACGAACTTGCATAAAGTGGTAGGATAGCAGATAAGGTCTATGTCCCCCTGACCTTTGTTTGACCTGGCTCGTTTAGCTATTTCTGA